CACAGTCGCAACTTCGCAGGACGGAATCAATGCCCTAAGTTGGAACCCAGATTTAGAGGACCATTCACAATATTGGAACGCATCGGGCAAGTCGCATACCGTATCGATCTGCCTCCAACCTACTCGTGTCACAATGTCTTTCATGTCTCGCAGCTTATACCTGATCGGCCTCGGGACCCAGCAATGCAATCCAAGGAGGCAGCAGTGGGGTGGCTGCCTCTCAACGACCAAGACGGCCTTCCTACGGACATTTACGAAGTGGATTATATATTGAACCAACGCGGCTCTGGCAAGGACGCCCAGTATCTAGTTAAATGGAGGGGAGCCCCCGAAGACAGGGCCACTTGGGAACCAGCCTCTAACCTAACCAACTGCGCGGCACTACTTAGGGCCTGGCGTCGCTACTATAATAAAGTAAGGTCTCGGCAGAGGTCCAGCACCAGCTAATACGCGCATCTCTCGCGGAACCAACACACGGACTACCTCACCGTCACGCTTCATCCAAGGGGGGGGGAAGGAGTGGTGCACGTGGCTGCACCACTCGCGGCTAATCGGGCACGCGCCACCACAAGCGGGCTAGTCGGGCAAAAACGCTAGGGAACGAGGCGAACGATGGGAAAGGGACGCTAGTATCATAGTGAGCAAAGTAATCATGCTGGCGTTGAACTGGGCACGTGTACCAATAATGGGAGTAAAGGAGCCACCACCGGTGTGGGGCGGGAAGCGGGACGCAGGAACGCCCACGCCACTTGGACTAAGAAATTTCGACCGGAGGGGGGAAGTTGTAGTGCGCTAGCACTACAAGTAGCTGCAACCAATAACGATAGGTAACTATAGGGAGTAAGGAGCGAGAACGAGCTAAGTACGCCGGAAACTATCAAAGAGAGTTAATTGAGTCTAACTTGAATAGTAGATTCGGCACACAAGGATCGTAGCCGAAATCAGACTAGAACAGAGGCCGACACAGTGCGGGGCGAGTCGGCCGCACCCAGAGGATGGCGCCCACGACGCCTGCAGAGGCCAGGGGTGTCAGGGAGGAAGGACACTTTTTTTTGGATCACGAAAACGTTGAAATACGTTGGACCCGAACCGAGTTTGGACTTAACGTTTCCGGACAACGCACAATCTCTGTATTGAGTCGCCGAACCTACTAGGGGTTAAGAGTATTTGGCCGCCGAGGTCATTACACCAGCTCAGTCCAGACATTGTAGATCTCTCTCCGTGGGATGGATACCCAGCCTAGGTTGAACAAGACCTACATTGCACGAATCTGGGCCTCCTCTCGCAAGCCTCCTCGCATTGACTGCAAAGGTGCTCAAATGTTCAGCGGATTGTAGGATCTTGAAGCACTGGAGGAGCAAAAACATTGTAGCAGCAGTGGCAGCCAGGAGGGCAACCGCTAGTGGCGGAAACCTCATGCGTTGCCCGTTCCGTCTAGGGATAAACGTGAGGGTGTTGTGTCGGAAATCGCTCTCCGAGCTGGGATAACCAGCGGGCGGTATATCCGCGCTTTCAGTCGCCTCCGCTAGAAGCGCCACAGAGGCGACGACAAGCGGTGAGAAAACGCCCATTTCGCAGGTTAAATACCAACCTTATCACGTTCTAAATATGATGCAAATTTTTTTCTTTAGAATTTCAACGTAAATACGGACGGGCTGTTTCGTGTGAGCCTGAGCCAGCTTGCCTGTGGCGCACTGTCGAATCCTGCGGTAGCCGTGGTTCCGCATGTCTGCAGTGGCTTAGGCTGCACAAGCCCAATACATGCTTTTTGTGCAGATGTGAAGGTCATGCATGCTTCCTTATTGTTGGGGAATATGCTTTCCACATACCATTGAGACTAGAGGCAATACATACGGTGGTCCGTTCTGTACATGCCAGTACGTAGAGCGACTGGAACATGTTTTGTAATGACCCGGTGACAAACAACACTATGGCTGGTATGCGAAGGACTGCGTGAATGACTTGTTTGTAA